GCATTCTGCCAAGAAGCAGAAAAATCATATTCAAATCACCCCCGACAGATGGCCATCCAGCCTCTGCTTAAAAGCCTCCAAAGAAAGAGCCTCCACCACACTCCAGGGCAGAGAGTTCCACTGCTGAACAGCTCTCACCATTAGAAAGTTCTTCATGTTCTGGTGGAATCTCCTTTCCTGAAGTTTGCAGACTTTTATCACGCACAGTACTCTAAATCTATTTTTGCAGATTTAAAGGCTAGGAATTTGCTTTGTAAACAACATAAATATAAATTTTCAGAATGCTAGAAATAGCGCTGCCATTTTGTGCTTATAGCAAGCATGGGCAAACTTTCTAACTTGGGGGCTGCATGGCGAGCCAGAATAGGGTGAGCAGGCCAGGAGTGGGTGTTCTCCCCAAGCCCCCTTCCTGGCCTTTGCTCCCCTTTCTCTTCTCTTTCAGAGGCAGAAAGTGATGGAAAGACAGGAAATGTTTGGATCCCAAAAGGGTTGGCCTTGGTCAGGATGAGGTAATGAACGGGAGAGAAAAATTGTCCCGTATTGTCTACTCCTGATACAGAATCCTAGAATCCTAGAGCTGGAAGAGACCCCCAAGGGCCATCCAGTGCAACCCCCTGCTATGCAGGAAGGCACAATCAAGGCACTCCCAATAGACAGTCTCTGCGAAAAAGCCTCAAGAGAAGGAGACGCCACCACACTCCCAGGCAGCCTAAGCCACTCTCCAGGAACTTCTTCCTAACTATTTCAGTTGAATCTCTTTCCCTGCTATTTGACCCCATTGCTCCCTTGTGCCTTGGTCTCCAGAGCAGCAGAAAGTCGGTTTCCCCCCTTCTACTCAATGGGACACCTTTTGAAATCTTGAACCTCATGTTCCCTCTCTAACCTCTCTTCTCCCAGCTAAACATTCCCCAGGCGAAAAGGAGGAAGGAAAAAGAGAAGGAAGGAAGGAAAAAAAGAGGAAGGGGAGGAAGGAAGAGTGGAAGAGAAAGGAGGGAGGGGAGGGAAAGGGGGAGGAAGGGAGGAAAGAGAGAAGGAAGAAAAAAGGAAGGGAAGAAAGGACAAAAGGGTTAAAGGAAGGATGGAAGGAAGGAAGGGTGGAAGGGAAGGAAGGAGGGAGGGAGAGAGAAAGAGGGAGGGAAGGAAATCTTAAAACATGGTTCTCATGCTCCCTCTCTAACTTCTCTTCTCCCAGCTAAACATTCCCCAGGGGAGGAAGAGAATGATGAATGGAAGGAAGAAAGAGTGGAAGAGAAAGGGAGGGGGAAAGGAGGGAGGAAAGAGTGAAGGAAGGAAAGACAAAAGGTAGGGAAGGAGGAAGGAAAGGGAAGGAAGGAAAGGAGGAAGGAAGGGAAGGGAGTGGAGGAGGGAAGGAAGGAGGGAGGAAGGAAGGGGGGAGGAAAGGGAAGGAAGAAATGGTGGAAGGGAAGGAAGAGGGAGGGAGGGAAATCTTGAAACATGGTTCTCATGTTCCATCTCTAACTTCTCTTCTCCCAGCTAAACATTCCCCAGGAGGAAAGGAGGAAGTAAAAAGAGAAGGAAGGAAGAGGAAAAAGGAGGAAGAGAAGGATGAATGGAAGGAAGGAAGAGTGGAAGAGAAAGGAGGGAGGAAAGAGAGAAGGAAGGAAAGACAAGAGGTAGGTAGGTAGGTAGGTAGGTAGGTAGGGAGGGAGGGAGGGAGGGAGGGAAGGAAGGAAGGAAGGAAGGAAGGAAGGAAGGAGGGAGGGAGGGAGGGAGGGAGGGAGGGAGGGAGGGAAAGGAGGAGAAAGGGGAAGGAAAGGATGGAAGGAAGAGTGGAATGGAGGGAGGGAGGAAAGGGGAACGAAGGGTGGAAGGGAGGGAAGGAGGGAGAAAGAGGGAGGTAAGGAAAGAGAGAAGGAAGGAAGGAAGGATAGGATGGTGAGAGAGAGGAAGGCCTGAGAAAAGAGCTCAAGGGGCTGCATCCGGCACCCGGGCCTGGGTTTGCCCATACCTGGCTTATAGGGTGCGGATGCATACTGAGAGCCTTGGCCTTTTTGCCCAAAGTGTTACTCACATAGAGAGAGAGAAAGAGAGCTCCCCCCACGAACCTTAAATATCAGCGCAAGGAAGGCATGTTGAAATGAAGCCTCCGCTGAGTCTAGCGGCTGTCAACTCTGAGCCAAAAGCAGAGGGAAACACTTGAGATAGTTCTCAGCCAGCAGCCCAAGCAAACACAGACAAAAGTGACACTTGTTCTGGAACACAAAAGTGCTCCACAGAGATTTGGCAGGAGGTAGAAGCGGGGAGGGAAAGGGGAAAGGAGGCTGCTGGGGAAGGGGAGTTCTCCGCCATCCTTGCAATGAAGTCATTCCGCTTCCACCGACTGAAAAAAACAGAGCCCTCTTCGACAGGAAGCCAACCGGCCTCTCAGCTGACCCTGCATGAACTAAAGTGAAATAATTGTCGGCCCCGGTCCAAAGCAAATTAGATTAGATGTGAAGCAAACCAGTCCTCAAAAGGAAGGCCTTCTAAACGCAGCCTCTCCGTTTTGCCAGACGTGATGTACCCGAGCAGTGCTCGTGCTATCAATAAAAGAAAGAGCAGGTTTGCTCTGGCACATGCTGAGTTTCAAGGCAAACCAATCAAGTTTTAATACTAATCACACAATTTAAGTGGTCGTGTGTTTTGTTGTTTCTCTCTTCCAATCTTTCTCTCACACGCAGCTGAGGGGGAAAAGGAAAGGGCCTGAGGCTGTTAGGAATAGTGGGAGTCGAAGCACAAAATACCTGGAGGGCCCAAGTTTGCCCATTCCTGTGCTAGAAGCTAAAGAAATCTAGAAGGTCGGACACCCCAATAGGCAATTCTCATAGTAATATTGATTTATTTATTCCCCATCATTGGCACATCACCGCTCAAGCAGAGAGCTTTGAAATGGTTGAACAGAAACTCTCTGAAGCTTTAGGTGCTCTTAGTGCCTATTACAGGGAAAACCAGCTGATTCCTAAAAGGTAAAGGTAGTCCCCTGACATTAAGTCCAGTCATGTCTGAGTCTGGGGTGTGGTGCTCATCTCCATTTCTAAGCCGAAGAGCCAGCGTTGTCCATAGACACCTCCAAGGTCATGTGGCCGCATGACTGCATGGAGCACCGTTACCTTCCCGCCAGAGCGGTACCTATTGATCTACTCACATTTGCATGTTTTCGAACTGCTAGGTTGGCAGAAGCTAGGGCTGACAGCGGAAGCTCACGCCGCTCCCCGGAATCGAACCTGTGACCTTTCGATCAACAAGCTCAGCAGCTCAGTGCTTTAACCCACTGCGCCACCGGGGCCCTAATTTAGCTGATTCCTAATCCATCTACAATGCAGACTTGCTATTATTTTAAGTTACCATGTATTATAAAATATCTAATAAAGATTATATAACAAAAAATAAAATAAAATGCAGGCGTGTGCTTTTCATCTTATGAACTGACAAGCATCCCGAGCTCTGAGGATGACCTGGGAAGAAATCCCACTGGAGCACTGGTTCTCAACCTGTGGGTCCCCTGATGTTTTGGCCTTCAACTCCCAGAAATCCTAACAGCTGGTAAACTGGCTGGGATTTCTGGTAGTTGTAGGCCAAAACATCTGGGAACCCACATGCTGAGAACTGCTGCACTAGAGCATTGAAACACACCAAAATACCTGGGAGTTACCCTGGACCGTACTCTGACCTACACGAAGTTGTGCTTGAATATCAAGCAAAAAGTGGGTGCTAGAAATAATATCATATGAAAGCTGACTGGCACAACCTAAGGATCACAACCAGACATAGTGAAGACATCTCCCCTTGCGTTTTGCTACTCTGCTGCTGAATACGCATGCCCAGTGAATGAGACATGCCGTGTTATCACAGGATGTCTATGCCCTACAACACTGGAGAAATGATACTGTTTAGCCATTATTGCATAACCTGACATCCCTCGGGAAGCAGCAGCCAATAATGAAAGGACCAAGGCAGTGACATCTCTAGCCCATCCTCTGTTTAGATATCAGCCAGTACTCCAATGCCTTAAATCAAGAAATAGCTTTCTAATACTTGCAGGAACATATCAGCAAGCGAGAGTCCAAAAGTGGCAGGATAAAACCCAGAACCTCAATCAGTGGCTGATACCAAATGAGAGACTTCCTCCTGGGCACACAGAAGGCTGGGCGACTTGGAAGGCATGGAACAGACTGTACTTTGGTACAGTGAGATGCAGAACCAACCTTAAGAAATGGGCCCACAAAGTGGAGTCCACGACATGCGAGTGTGGAGAAGAACAAACCACAGACCACCTACTACAATGCAGCCTGAGCCCTGCCACATGCACAATGGAGGACCTTCTCAGAGCAACACCAGATGCATTCCAAGTGGCCAGCTTCTGGTCAAAGGACATTTAGTACAATGTCAAGTTTTTCACTTTGTTTATGTTTTTAAATACATGATAACTGTACCCTCAATTTGCTTCTGACACGATAAATAAATAGTCCCAGCCAGTATAGCCAATGACCAGAAATTATAGGAATAGCATGGAAGCTAATGAAATACAGAAAACGGAATGCCCTAATAGGTGATTACGATTGCAATACTGATGTATTCAATATGTATTAAGAATGTGACAGTGCTGCATATTTCGGAGTACCGTATATACTCGAGTATAAGCTGAGTTCTTCAGCCCTTTTTTAGGCTGAAAAAGTCCCCCTTGGCTTATACTCGAGTCAAAGTTATTTATTATTTTTCTCTCTTTTATTATTATTATTATATTTACATTATTTTATTATTATTATTTATTTTTCTCTCTTTATTATTGTTACTATTACATTTATTATTTTTACCCTATTTATTATGATTAAATTTATTATTTTACTTGATTGTTGTTATTACATTTCCATTATTTTCCTCTCATTATTATTGGAAGGATACGTAACCACATTTACATTGAAGAAGGTCAGAATAATGGCAAGAGAGAAATGCTTTGAGTCCATGGGGTGTGTTGAGATGGCCCCCCGCTTTTTCCTCACCATATCCCGGTGGCTCTGCATGTGCATCCGGAGGCAAAGGAGGTCATTCTCCATGCTGGGCCCTACTCCTTTCTTAACGTCCGTTGTCAACGTGTAAACACTTAACCCTTGGTGGTACTTAACAACACAGTATTCCTCCGAATGTACTACTTGGGACAAGGTGCTCCAGCAGCAGGGTTCGCTGGCTTCTTTCCTAAAATTAGAACACAAAAATCATCATGAATATTGCCTTTGTCAAAATACTACATAAGCTTTCTCCAACTTGGCTGGGTTGGATTATAGCTCCCATAATGAAAACTGCAAGACATGTGATTAAGTCTGAAGATGCTTAGAATAATAGTTTAATAAGAATTGGACAGTCTTAACTTACGGTTTTATGTAAATATTCAAAACCATTTGACCTCCATTAATGTAATGTAATGTTGATTAGGTATGTTGAAACTTTCAGAATAACAGTTTAATCAGAGTTGGGGAGTCTTATCTTAAATTACATTTTATGTAAATATTCAAAACCATTTAACCTGCTGATTCCTCAATTAATATAATTTTATTTATATCTATTTTTATTTTGAAATTTACCCATAGCGGCTGCATTTCCCATCTTTGGCTTATACTCGAGTCAATATGTTTTCCCAGTTTTTTGTGGTAAAATTAGGTGCCTCGGCTTATATACGGGTCGGCTTATATTCGAGTATATACGGTAAGTCCTTAGCAGCAGACACAAAGCAGGTGCCATTGGAGTGAAAACATCAGTATCAGGGTCATTGTTATCAGCAAAAGCTGACTGCTCTTGCTTCTGATTTATAGCCCTGAATTCCCTACGCAGTAGGTACTAGGCGTCTCCCAATTAGCTCAGCGTTTTTAGCAGCTATTCTAGCTGAATGCCTTCAGTGCTCTGTCTCTTTTCGTCTCTCTAGAAATGTGGGCACTTTCAAACCCTCATCGTCTGATTCTTCTTCTCCCTCCAATTCCTGAGCACTTCCCTGCCCCCTTTCTCTTCCGAAGATGAGGAATCCCTAACACTTCAGAGGCAGCCCGACCTCTTTTTATTGGTATCTATTTTTATTTTGAAATTGACCAGTAACTGCTGTATTTCCCACCCTTGGCTTATAATCGAGTCAATACATTTTCCCAGTGGTAAAATTAGGTACCTCGGCTTATATTTGAGTATATACGGTATATCTTATTCCTATTATTTTAGTTAGTCTTCGAGGTTTTTCAGACTTCATCTCCAAAATGTCCTAGCTGACTTGGCCAAGAGTTAGAAATTCCATGAGCAGCAACTACTCTTTGCCTTTTTAAGTGCACACTGTATGCAAGTGAAGAAACACATTTAACAGGACACTAACCAAAATATTTAGAAAAAGAGGCACTGAAGAGCCTACAATTTTCTGGTGAACTGCAAATGAAACTTGTCAAGAACCTAATTCTAAGAATTTTAGGAAGAATATACACAATTAGCTGAACACAGAATGTGACATCTTAGATCTCTCATATCTCCACTTTCAAGTTGGGAACACATGAAAGAAATGGGAAGAGGCTGGGGGTCACATAGTTGTTCTCTCTCCAGCCACTCATCCCCTTTCCAAATAACCCCTTAGAAGGAATGTTGCCACCGCACTCACTTTAACTATTGTTAATACCAGTGCAAACCATTATTGAAGGGAGCGGGGGCCAGGGGACAGTTCCAACTTCTCTCCTGTGGTATGTTAATAATATAATATAATACAATATAATATAATATTATTATATAAACATATAATATTTATAGTATTATAATGTAATGCAACATACTACTACTCTAATAATATGTTATTATAATTATATATTTATAATACATGTAATATTATTAATAATATTACAATATAATGGTATAGTACAATATAGTAATAATTAATACTGATTTTGTACTATGCTAATAATAAAATATATTATATGTATGTATGTGTGTGTGTGTGTGTGTGTGTGTATATATATATATATATATATCTTGTAAGCCACTCTGAGTCCCCTTCGGGGTGAGAAAAGCGGCATATAAATGTCGTAAATAAATAAATAACAAGAAAGGAAACTTGGACAAATTAATTTCTTATTAAAAGAAGGGATATGGGGAGGGGAGGGATGAAAGATTGGAAACCTTTATTGACTAGGTTGCTGTGAGTTTTCTGCCCTGTATGGTCATGTTTCAGAAGCATTTTCTCCTGACGTTTCACCCACATCTACAGCAGGCATCCTCAGGGGTTGTGAGGTCTGTTGAAACTAGACAAGTGGGGTTTATATATCTGTGGAATGATGTCAAGGGTAGAAGAAAGAACTCTTGTCTGTTGGAGGCAAGTGTGAATGTTGCAGTTGGCCACTTAGATTAGCACCTAATAGCCTTGCCGCTTCAAAGCCTGGCTGCTTCCTGCCTGGAGGGTCCTCTGTTAGCCGACCCTGATTGTTTCCTGTCTGTTTTCTGAGTGTTGCTCTTTATTTACTCTCCTAAATTTTAGACTTTTAAAAATACTGATAGCCAGATTTTGTTCATTTTCATGGTTTCCTCCTTTCTGTTGAAATTGTCCACATGCTTATGGATTTCAATGGCTTCTCTGTGTAGTCTGACATGGTGGTTGTTAGAATGGTCCAGCATTTCTCTAATAATTGGCTGCTTCCTGTCTCAGGTAATCCTTTGTTGGGATTCCCAACTAACCAAGCTAACACCTCCCAACAAAGGATTCCCACCTTAGAAGGTAGGACTCCTACCTTTATAAAAGGAATAAGACTATAATAGAGAAAGCAAGTCACTACAACATTCAGAATATCCTACTTACTCTATCAGGAGCTGGTGAAGCTTCTGATGGCCCCTCTCCAAGGCCAAACCTATGGGGGTAGCCCCTTCCCGATTGGGAACGTCAAGGGCTTCTCTTCCACCCGGTTTCTGCAACAGGAACCACGTCAGACGCTGCAACCCCAGCCTTACTGCAAAATGCATCAGCGTCTCCTGGGAGACATTTTCTGGAAAGCAAAACAGAAAAGAAAACACATATATTTAGGCTGTGGCTAAGGTTAACACCGTCTCTAGAGACCTCCATCACCACCTGGATGTAGATGTTCGGTTGAGCTTTCTTTTGATTCAAAAAATTTAAAAAATTTCCCCATCACTAAAACAAAAAAAACATCAATTATTCACCATCATTTCTATTGAGCTCCCTCTAGCCCACATATGGGCAAACTTGGGCGTTATGCCTCTGCTTGTAGACTGTCTGCGCAATCTTCTTGCAGCAGCTCAGGATGTGATCTATTGTTTCATCTGTTTGCTTACAGAGTCTACATTTGGGATCTGTTGTCGACTTTTCAATTCTGGCTTTGATGGCATTGACATTATTATTATTATTATTATTATTATTATTATTATTATTATTCCCAGCATTTCTAACCCACCCTTCTCAACCCCTTGGGGGGGGGGGGCGGCTCAGGGCAGCTTACACCCGCCAGCAATTTGATGCCGCAACATAAAACAGATACAAAAATATAACCACAATTAAACAATAAATAGAACATTTGAGTTAAAACAAGTTAAAGCATCATTATCAAACCATATAGCTATTTCCAGTCCGATTCTACTTCCAAAGTGCTGTTCTGCTTCCTGTCGAAAAGCCRGGTCCCAGAACCACGATTTAAACTTCTTCCTAAAAGGAATTAGGGATGAAGCCAACCTAATCTCACTGGGGAGCGAGTTCCTCAGACGGGGGGTCACCACCGAGAAGGCCCTGTCCCTCATCCCCGCCAATCGCAATTGTGAAACTGGGAGGGCCGAGAGCAGGGCCTCCCCAGATGATCTTAAACTGCGAGGTGGGGCGTAGAGGGATATACGTTCGGACAGGTAAGCTGGGCCGAAACCATACAGGGCAGTGTTTCTCAACCTGGGGATCGGGACCCCTGGGGGGGTCGCGGGGGGGGGGGTTCAGAGGGGTAGCCAAAGACCATCAAAAAACACATATATTTCTGATGGTTTTAGGAACCCTTTTGATAGAGAAGGGTGAAGATCTCTCTGCCTGTCCTTCTCTTCCTTTTTGGTGTTGGTGAACTACAATTCTCAGAAATAATAAACAGCCCCCCCCTCCAACCCCACCAGTATTCAATGTTGGTCTATGCAGATTCATTGTGCATAGATTTTTTGATTACAAGTGTGCATCGATTTTATGGTTGCATACATGCATAGAATTTATGGTTGCACAGATGCACACAGTTTATGGTTGCATAGATGCATAGTCTATGGTTGCATATGTGCATAGAATTTACGGTTGCATCCATGCATAGAGTTTACAGTTACATGTGTGCATAGAGTTTACGGTTGCATGCATAGAGTTTATGGTGCATGCATAGAGTTTATGGTAATGGAGCGCCATTACTTTCCTGCCGAAGCAGTACTTATTGATGTTTTCAAACTGCTAGGTTGGCAGAAGCTGGGGCTAATAACGAAAGCTCACCCTATCCCGCAGATTCAAACTACCAACCTTGCAGTCAGGTAGTGCTGTGGCTTAGTGGTTTATCCTGCTGTGCCACTGTGGAACCTTTATAATATACTATATATTAAATAGTTCTGTCTGTCTGAAAAAACAGGGTTTGATTATCTCCCCCCCCCCCCCCCCCACACACACACACACTCCCTGAAAACAGGACTGCAAGAAATTTCAGGACAAAATCTGCTGCTTGGTGACATTTGACTGTGGGATTAAATTCTGAAATCCTTTTTAATTCTCGCAAACCAGAATAGATCCTTTCACAGTGGCTCTTTTCCAGCTACTCTGGTATGTTCTAACATAATCCTGGCCATTTTCTTCATTTGTACAAGGAAGTTGAAATTTGATTTACGAGAGTTTTTACCAATCTTGTCCCAGCAAAATGTCTGAGCTCAATAATGTAATACGTGGCTACCGCTTGTTCATTCTGCATACCATTCTCCATGGAGTCTCTTCCCACTCTTATTGTTCCAAATGTTTTCATTGTAATTTATCTTATGACACAAATGTAGTTTTGTTATTATTTATTATGTAAACTCAGACTACCCAGCAAATGTGAAGTTCAATGTGCTGTCGAAGGCTTTCATGGCTGGAACCACTGGGTTGCTGTATGGCCATTTTCCAGAAGCATTCTCTCCTGATGTTTCACCCACATCGAGCCACGAGAGTAAAGAAAAATATCTGCCCAGAGGAATCACTGACCGCATAGGGAAGCTGATGAGGAAATACACTCTCCAAACAATCTACAGTCCCACTAAGAAAATCCAACAAAGGCTACGTTCAGCAAAGGACAAGAGGCATCTTCTCACTTCTGCAGGAGTCTACCGTATACCATGCAGCTGTGGACAAGTCTACAGAGGGACCACCAAACGCAGTAACATTGCCCAAACACGAATCAAGGAACATGAAAGGCACTGCAGACTAATTCAGCCTGAGAAGTCAGCCCTAGCAGAGCACCTGATGAACCAACCTGGACACAGCATATTATTTGAGAACACAGACATGCTGGACCACTCTCACAACCACCATGCCAAATGACACAGAGAAGCCACTGAAATCCACAAGCATGTGGACAATTTCAACAGAAAGGAGGAAATCATGAAAATAAACAAAATCTGGCTATCACTATTTTACAACAACTCTAAAATGTAGGGCAGTCAATAAAGAGCAACACTTAGAAAACAGGGGAATTCCAGACAGGAAACATTCAGGGCCAACTAACACCTCCCAACAGATGACCCTCCAGGAAGGAAGCAGCCAGGCTTTGAAGCTGCAAGGCCATTCAATGCTAATCAAGCTGGTCAATTGCAGCAGTCACACCTACCTCCAACAGACAAGAGTTCTTTCTCCCACCTTCGACATTCCACAAATATATAAACCTCACTTGCCTAGTTTCCAACAGACCTCACAAGATCTGAGGATACCTGCCATAGATGTGGGTGAAATGTCAGGAGAGAATGCTTCCAGAACATGGCCAGACAGCCCAGAAAACTCACAACAACCCAAATGTGAAGTTGCTTCTATTAAAATAAATAACAAACAAACAAATAAATCTCCAAAGTAGTGGCACTGAAGGAGGGCAGAGTTCGGCTGCTGCCCAGGATGATGGCCATGGGCATACAAAACGACTCGTTTGATGTGTAGAGACGTGTGATACTTAAAATCATCAAATCGGTATGGTGCTGCTACTCCTAATGGCAGCAATGCAATGTGGTAAAGTCTAGAACAATCAGTCCCAGTTATCCAGCATAATTACACCGTGTAACAAAGTTTGAAAAAATTTCTGTTCCTTGTTTGAAAGTGTTATAACTTATTTCTGTTTAATTGTGTCACACATACTTTGAAAGTAGTTGTTCTACTCCAGAAACTTTGTTTTTGTAGCTGTCAAATACTATGTTGAATTGGCTTCAAACTCCAGGAAAGGAGATTTCACCTGAACATGAGGAAGAACTTTCTGACTGTGAGAACAGTTCAGCAGTGGAACTCTCTGCCCTGGAGTGTGGTGGAGGCTCCTTCTTTGGATGGCCATCTGTTGAGGTGCTTTGAACGCGATTTTCCTGCTTCTTGGCAGAATGGGGTTGGACTGAATGGCCCATGAGGTCTCTTCCAACTCAATGATTCTATGATTCTATGGTTGATATTCATTGAAATAACTAGAGCAAAAAATGTTATAGCAGGATGTCCTACCCACCAAAACAAAGTTTAATATGATAGAACCAATTAATGACATTTATAACCCAGGGAAAAAATCATAGTGTTACATAGTGTTACCAAAAGTGGTGTGGGCAAAAAGGACTTACCATTGAGGGCACGGTCTGTCCCTAACACATTCCACTCGGCTGGCAATTTCAGGTGCCGAAATGCCAGGGTCAATTTCTCATCCAAAAAGTCCATGTCCCCAGCAGGCGGCCTGGACTGATCCAAGAATCTTGTAAAGTTGAGCGCCTGCTGGTTCCCAGCGCAGGTTGCCAGGAACTGCGCGGCATCGTAAGCTTCATCCTGCACAAACTGCAAGCTGTCCTCGGCCACCACCAGAACGGGGTGGTCCTGCTTAGCAGCACACAGAGAGACCTTCACGGTCTCACAGCAGTCATGGCCTGTGGGGTGGGAAAAAGCAGGAATGTGTTTTAGAGACTCCATTGGCTCAGCACTTTTTCAGGCGTTCTTTATCAGTATTATTTAAACCATTTAAACTAGGGGTCTTCAAACTAAGGCTCATGGACAGGATGCAGCCCTCCAAGGTCAAATAATAATAATAATAATAATCATCATCATCATCATCATAATCATCATCTCATTTATATAATCTCATTTATAATAATAATAATCTGGTTTACTGTGAAATACTGTGGTTTTGTGTCAGTATATTTATTTATTTATTTATTTATTTACTAGCCGTCCTCTGCCACGCGTTGCTGTGGCCCATATGAGGGTTCTGTGTGGGAGGTTTGGCCCAATTCTATCGCTGATGGGGTTCAGAATGCTCTGTGATTGTAGGTGAACTATAAATCCCAGCAACTACAACTCCCAAATGTCAAGATTCTATTTTCCCCCAAACTCCACCAGTGTTCACATTTGGGCATATTGAGTATTCGTGTAGAATTTGGTCCAGATCCATCATTGTTTCAGTCCACAGTGATCTCTGGATATAGGTGAACTATAACTCTAAAACCAAAGGACACTGCCCACCAAAACCTTCCAGTATTTTCTGTTGGTCATGGGAGAACTGTGTGCCAAGTTTGGTTCAATTCCATCATTGGTGGAGTTCAGAATGCTCTTTGATTGTACGTGAACTACAAACCTCAGCAACTACAACTTCCAAAGGACAAAATCAATCCCCCAACCCCACCAGTATTCAAATTTGGGCATATCAGATATTTGTGCCGAATCTGGTCCAGTGAAGTTTGGCCCAATTCCATTGTTGGTGTAGTTCAGAATGCTCTTTGATTGTAGGTAAACTATAAATCCCAGCAACTACAACTCCCAAATGACAAAATCATTTTTTTTAGTGAAGGACATACATTGGGTTGCTAGGTGTCTTGTGTCCAAATTTGGTGTCAATTCGTCCAATGGTTTTTGAGTTCTGTTAATCCCACAAACGAACATTACATTTTTATTTACATAGATTTATTCCCCCCCTCTACCATCTACGTAACGGGACTCAGGGCGGCTCACGGAAGCACTCCAAGAGCCGCATATAAACAACAATACATAAGAATATACACAGTGACATAAATATAAAAATGACAATGCACATAAAATCCCAACGAATACAACTGTAAGAATTGTAATAATCAAACAATTATAAAATTTCCTAAAACTCAATGGAACCTGTGAATAATGCTGGCTATCTGGAGTAACAAATCAAAGTGCAAAGTGACACAATCAGCAGATCATCGAACTGACCATAGATTACACAGGGTCAAAGGCCTGAAGGACTCTTGTTTATTTGAGGCAAATGTTAATGTTGCAACCTTGATTAGCATTGAATGGCCTTGCAGCTTCAAAGCCTGGATGTTTCCTGCCTAGGGATCTTTTGTTGGAAGGTGTTAGCTAGCCCTGATGGTTTCATGTCAGGATTTCCCCTGCTTTTTGAGTGTTCCTCTTTATTTACTGTCCTGATTTTAGGGGTTTTTTTTAATACTGGTAGACAGATCTTGTTCATTTTTATTGTTTCCTCCTTTCTGTTGAAATTGTCAACATGCTTGTGGACTTCAATAGCTTCTCTGTGTAGTCTGACATGGTGGTTGTTAAGAGTGGTCCAGAATGTCTGTGTTCTCAAATAATATGCTGTACGGTGTATGCTGTATGGCCATGTTCCAGAATGCTTCTGGAACATAGCCATACAGCCCAGAAAACTCACAGCAACCCAGTAACTCAACTGTTTGAATTTATATCACTCAATGACATTCCAAGCTGGGATCAAATCACAACAGGGATTTGGGCAGAAATGCAACATGCAACCTTACTGAGAGCATGCAATTATTTTATTTATCAGCGCAAAGATTCACAGAGCATTCCCATCAGCGAGGAATTATCAATTTCATAGAAATACGGTGGTTTATATGCAAAGACGGAGAAATAAATCATGCAGAGACACAATAAACAACCAGCCTTGTGGCTAAGGACTTTGGGTTTATTTTATTGGTTTCCTTCCCAATTGTGGAAGTTCCTCAAGTGATAAATCCATTTATTTGCAGAAACTAATAGCAACATAGACCAGAACACATGCAGGCTTATATTACTATTTGTTTCTGTAAATAAATGGATTTACTGTGGCTGCCAAGCAGATTAAGGTCTCTCGTGGCAAAATCTGGGCTAAGAACCTTCCCAGAAGTCCACAGATTCACTCGCCAACACGGCAGCACTAAAAATAGTTAGCCTTGCGTATTTTTAAAAATCCCAGATTCAACCCTGGTATCTCTACTTTAAAAAAAAAAAACCCACCCCAAAATGCTTAGAACATTATTTGAGAAAGTACAGATAAAATATCTATGAAGATGGTAAGAATCTAAATCACTGCTTCTTAAACTGTGGGTCCCAACCCCAAATGAGGTCTCCTTAACTCAATGTTGGGGTCCTGAAACATTTGGCAACAGTAATGCCATCCATCTACACAGATCTGTTAGGAACAAAGTGCTGTGTTAATGGTAGACTGCAGAAAATGATTCAACTGTATTTCACAAAAAAAGGGGGGGAATCAGCTTGTTTAGCAAGCCCTGGAGATGTGGATTTATTATCAGTAAATATTTGTTTTTTTATACTTATTTTGTTTACCTATATATCCAGCCACATAAAAAATTATCAGGAGAAAAGGGGTCGTGAGAGGGGAAAGTTTAAAAAGCTATGATCTAGTTAGATATACTGTGTATACTTGAGCATAAGCTGACCCAAATATAAGCCGAGGCACCTAATTTTACCACGAAAAACTGGGAAAACGTAAATGAGAGTAAAATAATAAATGTAATAAACATAATAATAGAATAAAATAATGGAAATGTAACAATAACAGTAATAAATAGAGTAAAATAATAAATGTAACTCTAATAATGACAGAGTAAAATAATGTAAATGTAATAACAATAATAGAGTAAAAGAATAAATATAATAAAATAATAATAATAATCATCATCATCATCATCATATACCCAATTATTTCCATCAGTGCCTCGAGGCCGTTACTGGATGGCTGCGTGCCAGCAGGTTGAGGGTGAATCCAGCAAAGACGGAGATCCTTTGGCTGGGTCAACTGGGCAGTGGGAACATCCAGCTGCCTACCCTGGATGGTGAGGTGCCACGCCCATCATCATTGGTAAAGAGTCTGGGAGTCCTTTTGGACCCTCTGCTGACGATGGAAGCCCGGGTCTCCACCGTTAGCAGAACCGCCTTTTTTCACCTGAGGCAGGCTAGACGGCTGGCCCTCTACCTGTACAGGGACGACCTAATTACGGTGATCCAGCCCACGGTCATCTCAAGACTGGACTACTGTAACGCCCTCTACATTGGCCTTTTTCTGTCGGTTGGTACAAAATGCAGCTGCTCGGCTTATTGCGGTAATTCCGATGAGATGTCACATAACACCAATCTTACTACAGCTGCATTCGTTACCAATTGAGCACCGGATCACTTTCAATGTGATGGTACTTACCTTTAAGGCCTTGCATGGTCTGGGGCCGATGTACCTGAGGGACCGCCTCACCCCCTACCAACCCCAGAGATCCCTCCGTTCTGAGGACCAAGATCTATTGGAAATTCCCAGTGTCAAGACCTTGCGTCTAACAGCAACCAGACGCAGAGCCTTTACAGCAGTGGCACCATCACTCTGGAATACTCTGCCACCTGAAGTCCGTGCCTTGCGGGACTTATCAGCTTTCCGCAGGGAATGTTAGACATCTGTTTGATCTTTGATATTGCTGTTTTTAAATTGTTTTAAATTGTTTTTAAATTGTGTTCGATTTAATAATAAATAAAAATAAATAAATTGTTGTTGTATTCAGGCATTGAATGTTTGCCATTGATGTTTGGAATCCGCCCTGAGTCCCTTTGTGGAGTGGAATATAAATAAAGTTTTTATTATTATTATTATTATTATTATTATTATTATTAACAACAATAATAACAAAGTAAAATAATAAATAACCTTGATGCAAGTATAAGCTGAGGGAGGCTTTTTCAACCTAAAAAAATGGTTGAAAAACTTGCCTTATACTCAAATATATACGGAGTGTACTCTCCCTATTTTCTCAAATACTCAGTGCTCTGCCTTGTTCATCTGCCCAAATGGCAGTATTCATTAGTCTTCACCCCCTTGATTTAGGAGGGGCAGAGTCTCTTCTTCCTCTCTTTCTATCACTAACACACATACAAACACCACTGCCAAATTAACGTCAACTCTTCACAGCCTATCCTTCTGTGGTTTCATAGTCCAAGGAAAGCAAATTCAGACCTAAGCACAGCGAGTTAAACCCCCAAAAAGAAACGAAGAGGTGGAAGTCCCACCTTTTCAGCATGGCCGCTCACCCGCCATTGCCAACCTGGCCCCTTTAATAATCTGGCTTGGGTTCAAGTGCTCTGTAAACTTTGTTTGGAGCTCGTTCTCGCTCTCTTGTCTGCACCCCGCGGCTGTACTGACGTCAGGGTCTCTTGTAGCAGAACAGCAGAAATCATTCACTAATTACTGGAAAAGTTGCTCTGCCTATTACCTCAGTCTCTTACTGCATGAACCAACCCTTCTCCTTTTCTTCTTTGCTTTTAATTACACAAATGAGTTGAAGGATTCCCCACCCAAACGGGTTGGCACATTAGAACTGCTCACTGATCAGGGGCATCCGGGAAAGTCATTTTTCCAGCAATGTATTGAAGAGCTTCACTCACTGTTTATATAAATAAAAATGTAATGTTCGTTTGTGGGATTAACATAACTCAAAAACCACTGGATGAATTGCTGCCAAATTTGGCCACAAGACACCTACTAACCCAAAGAGTGACCATCAGTAAAAAAAATTGATTTTGTCATTTGGGAGTTGTAGTTGCTGGGATTTATAGTTTACTTACAATCAAACAGCTTTCTGAACTCCACCAATGATGGAATTGAACC